TTAAACAGACTTCTGCAAAATCCACCCCCCTCCCTCTCCTCTTCCTTCTGTTTTGGGACACCTAAGTTTAAAAGGAAAAAGAAGTTTGTAAGGAAAAGGAAAGTTGTTGGTTAATTTAAGAAAATTAGTAAAAGTTCATGTGATTCACCATTTGATGAAATTTTAGCTCAGATGTTTATAGGCCAAGAGGGTTTTCTGTGTTAAGATATTTTCTATCTTACCTCAGTCTGATCTTTCTTTAGCAGTGTGTGGTTTTTTAAAAATCCAGTGGAATCTTCTTCTAATTCATTTTGAAATTGGTAGTTGTGGTCATTGCTAACTAAAGCATCAAGTATTGACTGGAAAGCTGAAGCAGTCTTCTTCCCTTGTCTGCATGATTGAAACCTGAAATACTTGCAAACGTTATTCAAAAAATAAGGTATAAGATGTGAAGATGACAAAATGAATCATAGCACACATACACACAAACATACACACCATTTCTTAATAGTCTTGCAAATTTAAGAATCTCTTTATACATATTTATGTGTACATACATACACACAAATATACATATGAATATGGTTGATCACATTAGACTTGGGTCTGAATTTCTAGGAGATTTTATATAGGAAAAGCAGAAATGCTGGCCCTTCCTTTCACATTTAACTTACAGTAACTCATACATATTCTACTTAGATATTTGTACATCTCATCAGTAGTCAACTTACATCTCAATAAAGGGAAGAAATCTATGTTATATTGATATTTATCATTTCTGTGTTTTAAAATGAAAATAAAATATGGCTTTAAGATGTTAATGGGTATATCTGGGGGATATGATTGTGGACAGTTGTAATTATCAGTAGCTTTTTAAGTTTTCTATAATGACATGTCTCAATTGTATAGTCAGAAAAACATTGAGGTTTAAAATGACTTGTTTTTAAGAACACCCTTGTGAACTTTTACAGATTTTTTTTGTAATAGCCTTTTTCTTATTGCTGCTCTTTTTATGTGTGGAGTTCTCATGTCTCAGAGCTCAAGTGAGTCACCAAGGATGGCTCCCTACCTCTGTCAGCTTGGACTGGCATAACAAAATGACCACAGACTGGTGGCTTAAAAACAAATTTTTTAATTTTTCAATTGCAGTTGTTATATAAATTATATTGTACTAGAGGCCTGATGCACGAAATTTGTGCAAGAGTAGGCATTCCTTCCCTTGGCTGCTGGCACTGGCTTCCCTCTGGCCTAGGCTTCATCTGGAAGGACGTCTGGTCTAATTAGCATATTAACCCCCTCCTTTTTAAATTATAGATTAGTTTCAGGTATACAACCCAGTGACTGGACCTTTATATAACTTACAAAGTGATAACTCTGATAAATCTAGCTTCCATCTGACACCATACATAGTTATTACAATATTATTGATTATATTTCCTATGCTGTATTTTACATCCCCATGACTATTTTGTAACTACCAATTTGTTCTTCTTAATCCTTTCACCTTTTTTTTTCTTTTTACCATCCCCTGAATGCCCTTACATCTGACAACTTTTCAAATGTTCTCTGTAACTATGAGTCTGTTTCTATTCTGCTTTTTTTAATTTTGTTTTTTAAACTCCACATATAAGTAAAATTATAAGGCATTTGTCTTTCTCTGTTTGACTTATTTCACTCAGCACAATATCCCCTAGTCCATCTATACTGTGGCAGATGGCAGGATTTCATTCTTTTTTTTATGGCTGAGTTGTATTCCATTGTATATATGCACCACATCTTCTTTACCCATTCTTCTATTGATGGACACTTAAGTTGCTGATATATCTTGGCTATTGTAAATAATGCAGCAATGAACATATGGATGCATATGTACTGTCAATTTAGTAATGTGGGTTTCTTCAGTTAAATACCCAGAAGTGGAATTGCTTGGCCCTTCTTTATGTCTTATTATAGCCTTTATTTTAAAGTATATTTTGTCTGGTATAAGTATTGCTTTCTCAGATGTTTTGCCCGCCCCCCCCCCCCAAAAAAAAATAACTTTTTCCATTCATTTGCTTTCAATGTGTGTGTGTCTTTTGATCTGAAGTCTCTTGTGCAGAGCATGTGAAGGGTCTTATTTTCTTATCCATTTAGGTACCCTTTGTCTTTTGATTAGAATATTTAATTTACTTGCATTTAAAGTAATTGTATATATATTTTAAATCCTCACCTGATAAACATACCCATTGATTTTATTTATTTTTTTGTTACTCTTTACCCAAGGATATTTTTTCATTGACTTTTAGTGAGAGTGGAAGGAAAAGGTAGAGAGAAACACATAGAGAGAAACATCAATGTGAGAGAGATATATCAATTGGTTGCCTCCAACATATGTCCTGACCAGGGCTGAGAATTGAGCCTGCAACCCATGTATATGCCCTTGACTGGAATCTAACCCAGAACCATTCAGTCGATGGGGAATACACTGTATCTATTGAGCCAAACTGGCTAGAGCCTTGGCCATTGATTTTAGAAAGAGAGAAAGGAAGAGATAGAAGGAAAGGGAGTGAGAGAGAAACATTGATGTGAGAGAGAAAGATCTATCAGTTGCTTCCTATGCACACCCTGACCAGGGATTGAAATAACAACCATTTGGTATATAGGAAGATGCTCCCACCAACTGAGTTAAACTGGGCAGGGCTAAAGTAATTATTGATATATATATTTATTGTTAGTTTATTATTCATATCTTTAATTTATATTTTTCTTATTCTTCTTAAAGAAGATCCTTTAATATTTCTTGTAATGCTGGTTTGATAGTGATGAATTCATTTAGCCTTTTCTTGTCGGAGAAGCTCTATCTGTCCTTTGATTCTAAATGATAGCTTTGCTGGGTAGAGCAGTCTTGGTTAAAGGTCCTTGTTTTTCATCATTTGAATATTTTGTGCCAATTCCTTCTGGCCTACAAAGTTTCTGTTGAGAAATCAGCTGACAGTCTTGTGGGAAATCCCTTGTAGGCAACCAACTGCTCTCCTATTGCTGCTTTTATGATTTCTCTTTGTCTTTAACCTTTGCCATTTATTTATTTATTTATTTATTTATTTATTTATTTATTTATTTATTTATTTTTCTGTTAATCCTCACCTGCCATGAGAGAACACTTTCTTTAAAAAAAACAACAACAACTTTTCTTGTGTGTCTTCTTCTGAGGGCATTAATCCCACCATAAGGGCCCCATTCTAATGACCCTATCTAACCTGACTACCTTCCAAAGGCTTCATTTCCAAATACCATCATATTATTAGTTAGGACTTTAACATATGAATTTTCTAGGCACACAAATGTCCAGTTCATAATACTCCCCTCTTTCAAACTGGAAGTATACTAGACTTCCAGAAATTGCATCTAAAATAAAAAAGCCTGGCAGGCTATATGTAAAAAGAATAATGATGTCAAAGGGGATTTTCTCCATTTTTAATGAGTTTAAAGGGTATTATTTTTGTGACTTGAAATAATGCACTAAATACGGTTTAAAGGAAATGGAATACTGCAGAATGTACCATTTCTTAATAGTCTTGCAAATTTAAGAATCTCTTTATTTTATCTTCTTGGTTTTCTTTCTTCCCTTCTTCCTTCCTTCCTTCCTTCCTTCCTTCCTTCCTTCCTTCCTTCCTTCCTTCCTTCCTTCCTTCCTTCCTTCCTTCCTTCCTTTTTTTTTTTGATTATTAATAGAAGTTTCTCCAGCATTTCGAGCACCTGGATCTTGGCACGTAGACAGTGGAGCTCAATAAGTTTTTCTTGCTGATCCTTGTTAACTACGATGAAATGTTAACAACAACAATAATTATTATATTGCCACAGGAGACATGTTTTGGGCATATAATATAGGGAAATAAAATAAAAAATAGTCACAAAGTCAGGATAGACACATTTGTTATTAAGTCCTTTTAATGAATTAGTTATGAATCGAATAGCTTATTCATCGTCTTTATTTTGGAACTTTTAACATTTATATTCCAAAAGAATTGTTAAGAAATGAATTGGTGATTTGTTTTAAATTACTATTCAGTCGTAAATGTACATAAGCTCCTGGAATCTGTACAATTAAATGGCAGGTAGATGGTGATTGTGGAAAAACTTAAGTGAAATTTTCAACGTTTCATTTACAAGATTGACTTGAGTTTAATAATCAAGTCTGAGGGATGACTTCTTCCTCCACCTCTCGCCCCCCATATGAGCTTTCTCTTCTCTACTTTCTAATGCTTCATTTCTTATTATGCTCTATATGTATACAGAGTTTGTCATTTCCTTTAAAAGATTCTCTGTGGTTATTTTTTTCTCAATCTCACATTCTTGGTTTGTTTGTTTTTGTTTTTTACTGTAAATCAGTTGGTTAGAAATACCCTTCAAGGTAGTAATGTTTCTGCAATGCTAGGAGCTGACAGCTTGCCAAGTAAATCATGACGTTGTGATATATTATTTCCAGTTACTATATAACTTTTAATATTTAGTGTATCCGTCATACTAAGTCACGTTTCAGTTATTTAATTTCACGTATGTCTGCATTTTAGATGAGAATCCTTTTTCCCATTAGTAGATTTTAATTTCCTTTTCTCTCACAGTCAAATTCCAAGCATGCCTTATAAAACCAGCCACAGAATATACACACGAGCACACAGTTTTTATGTTTACAAGTAGACTTAAGAATATACAGTGATAAACTATATCTTAACTTAAAGATGTGAACACTTTAAATGATAGCTCCACTTTTGTCACTATTGCTTTGGTAATTTGATTCCCAGATATTAGGCAAACGTATCTAGGTAGCTCTGTATTCTATTGCGACATGATCTTTGTTAGGAGCTTAAAAAATAATCTCATAAACGTTCCTTAGAAGTGAAAAAAAATGTTCTGAATTCTCAGCTATGTCTACATCATAGTTAATCTATTATTAACAAAATTCCTATCTGAAATTCTGTTTTGATAACACTAAAAACAATTATTTTCTCTCTCTCTCTTTTTATTTTAAATTTCACAAACAGGACACAAAAATTGCTTCATTGGAGCGAAACATAAGGGATCTTGAGGATGAGATCCAGATGTTAAAAGCCAATGGTGTGCTGAACACTGAGGACCGTGAAGAAGAGATCAAACAAATAGAGGTTTACAAAAGTCACTCCAAGTTCATGAAAACTAAGGTATGGTCCAGAGTTACAAACTTTTATACTCTTAGTGTGACTGGAAAGTTATGGTTTACTTACATTCTTTTCCCAAATACATAATCTGCTTTATATGACATCATGGAATATATGGACAAGAAAGAAGAATGCAAAAATTTTAGTTCAGATGCATAGATCCCAAAAGAAATCATGGAGAACCTTTGGTAGAATTCTACCTACACAAAGGTTCAAGATTTTCTAATGAGTTTCTTTGCTGTTGCTTTGTCTTAGGAATTAAAATTACTTTTTTAATAGTCCTCTCACTTCCAAATTTTCTAAATTTTCAAAAGTATTTTAAAATGTTTCTTTCATTACCACCTTTTGAGTCCATCCCTAGAAGATGATTCTCAAAAGGTGCTCTTAGAAGTCAACTTAACTGATTTGAATGATATGAAGTCCTTTAAGTTTTAGTATAGTGTTTAAGACAAAAATTGACTTTGAGTCCCAATGCTACTATTTGTACAAATTATTCAACTTCTCCAAGCCTCAGTTTCCTCATCCTTGAAACAAGGTTAAGAAAAAGAAAAATGCCTCTATCATTTTTTTTTAATGATCCTAAGAGATTATGCATTTAAATTACATAGTCCCTAGTCTGATCCCTACAAATGTCAAGCATTATTGTTGACAGTGGTCATTATTATTTTGTTATCTGTTTCTATGGAATATTTATGTATTATAATAGTAACGTGTTTCACTAATTTATTTCATATTGCTAGTTTTAAAAAATTTGTCTTATATTTTTCAAAATTGAACTGGGCTACAAAGGGACCATGCATCTGAATATCTATTATTTTTACATATATATAATTATTGACTATATGAATAGTCCAAATAGATCTAATAAGACTTTGAGGTGCTTTTATCTATTGCTGTTTTTAAACCATTTTGCTTTTGAAAATAATAACTGCACCAATTAATTTTTTTTCAACCACTTGTTCTTAAGTACTCCTATTTTTAATCTAGATTTTACTCTTTTTTATTGTCTTTTGTTGTCTTATTCTTAAATGTAGCAGATTTAAGAATAATGCATTTTTCTGTGAGAAAGCAGTGGGAGAAAGGAGAAAAAGTATTTAAATGATAATTGATTTTTTAATAAGTTGTGAAATAAATGTACTTAATTCTGCCAACTTTCCACCTGTAAGTTGACAATGAGATTATGAATAAAAATGTGGATCGAGGAGTGGAGATATGAGAAAGTTAATGTCCAGTGGGTTTGAATCTAACCCCTTCCTTTCAGGGACCACCACAAAATGCAGAATGGGTTTTCCTGCTCAGCCCTGCCTTGTGGCTTCATTTTTGCAGTCCTTCCCTCTCAGAGCATTCATTAAGCTCAGGTGCAGTGAGCACAGTTGCAGGGTGGCCTGCAGATGATGACCAAATTTTTCAGGGAATGAAGACCAGAGGCACAGATCTGAGGGAACACGTGAAGTTTGGGGGAAATGATTGTTTCAGCTAAAACCTTCCCTCCATTCCCTGTCATTGCATGGGGGGAGACAGTGCAAGCCTCTACTATTAACAAAAACCGCCATGGCATTTGTAAACCTCACTAACACCATGGACTCCTGTCCAGGTAACTAAAGCATTTCTATGGTCTTCAGCAAGTAAGTCCTCACTGTTTCTGGCCCACAGTTGTCTGAGAGACTTACTTTGAAGGGTTGGTTCCCAGGGATCAGGCCAGAAGAATGATTGCAGGGAGTTAGGGGTGGGGTGGGAAGAGCGCAGGCCGAGGGCCAAGGCAGCCTGGGTGCCTCTAGCCTGTCCTTGCTGGTGGCAGCATGGCTTTGTGGAGTGGCTAGAGTCACCCAACCACACTTTTCTCTTCTATAAAATGGGGGCAACACCACCCACTGTAGAGGTTGTCCTAAAGTTTTAAATGAAATAAGATAGTTTAAGTTCTTAGCTTAAAAAAAGAAAGAAAGAAAGAAAGAAAGAAAGAAAGAAAGAAAGAAAGAAAGAAAGAAAGAAAGAAAGAAAGAAAGCTAGCTAGCTGTTGGCTTTTAATCCACTGCCTGGTATTTCTCCAGCAAAATAGTTTACTAAGGAACAACAAAGAATTGCAATTCTGGACGTGGTGTCTAATGGTAAACCACGCACACATTCAGGGAAACAAAAGAGAGTTTTGTGGACTTGGGAGGGGCTGTGGGAGGAAACTGCAAGTTCAAAGTACAGTGACTTTTCAGTGCTGAGCTATGGCCGCCTCCCCTTGGCTGAGCTGCTGCAGGGCCAGGAGGCGTCTTTCCTTCCTCCTGCTGTGACAGTGATGTGGCATCCTTCCTGTCCTGTTGGAGATGCAAGGCTTGTCTCTTTTTCTCTCGGTCAGTTGGTCTACATGTGCATGAAAGTTTTCTAGTCTCCTGACTCCTTTTATTTTTATTTTTTTAAATTTATTTATTTTTAAAAATATATTTTATTGATTTTTTTACAGAGAGGAAGGGAGAGGGATAGAGAGTTAGAAACATCGATGAGAGAGAAACATTGACCAGATGCCTCCTACACACTCCCTATTGGGGATGTGCCCACAACCAAGGTACATGCACTTGACCGGAATCGAACCTGGGACCCCAGTCTGCAGGCCAACGCTCTATCCACTGAACGAAACCGGTTTTGGCTTGACTCCATTTTAAATGAGGTTTTGTTTATTAATTTTCACAGTTCATAATTATACCCAGAATTATTGAAGTATAACCAAACATCATAATAATAAATGTTGTATTTAATTTGATTAATGGGGACAAGAGATTCTAAGAAATAAAATTAAAATGAGTTCTTATAATGTTATATCCCTTACAGATTGATAAAAATTAGATTAAAAAGCCAAAACCGGTTTGGCTCAGTGGTAGAGCGTCAGTCTCTGGACTGAAAGGTCCCAGGTTTGATTCCTGTCAAGGGCATGTATGTTGGTTGCGGGCACATCCCCAGTAGGGGGTGTGCAAGAGGCAGCTGGTCGATGTTTTCCTCTCATCGACTTTTCTAGCTCTCTTTCTCTCTTCCTTTCTCTCTGTAAAAAAAATCAATAAAAAATATATTTAAAAAATTAGATTAAAAAAATACCCCTAGGAGTTATCTTTTTATATTTTCTCAATTGAAAGGATGTTTTTTATTGGTTTGAACCATAATAGTTATTGCTCAAACTTCGTACCATTACTTCAATTACTTGTTTTTCTTACTTCTACTTTGATTCCGTACTTAAGCCTAGGAATGGCCTAGCAGTTTGGTTAAGGCACAGCTATTGCTGAACATTTAGTCCCTGGTGCTAGTGTCTTATGCTTTTGGGGTCCTTTAGGTTGTGTGCACTGATTCCAGTGGCTAAACCATTAACATGGATTTTATGAAATTGAATAGGCATGGTCTGATAGCCTCTAAAATCAGATCATTAGCATATTTTATGGCTCATTGTTGCCTATTTTTTTTTTAAACAAAGTTTACATGACTAATATTGTTTGTCAAATCATCACAGATATGTGAGGAGTTAATTTTTGCAATAGTTGGTTACGCACGTTGACAGACAATTTAGTGCCACCATTGGGGGTCTCTTGAACTCTTTAATTTTGCAGTTGTGTGGTGGATAAAGCTGTCATTGGTGGAGTCTGAGTATTGCAGTCCCCATAGACTTGTTAAACATTGTTTTTAGCATGGCACTGAGCTAGCCACTGAGGCCCACTAAAAATAGTGCATATTCAAAGTATTTTCCGTCCATTTTTATTGACCACTTAGTAAAGAAATATACTCAAAACACTGCCCAGAATGCCCTAGCTGGTTTGGCTCAGTGGATAGAGCATCAGCCTGTGAGTAAAGGGTTCCAGGTTCTATTCTGATCAAGGGCACATGCTCAGGTTGCAGGCTCAATCCCCAGTAGTGGGTGTGCAAGAGGCAGCCAATCAATGATTTTCTGTCATCATTGATGTTTCTCTCCCTCTCTCTTCCTTCCTCTCGGAAAGAAATAAAAATACAAAACAAACAAACAAACAAAACAAAACAATACTACTCTGAAGATTTGATGGGAAGGGAATTCACTTCTGGCCAGAGTAATGCAGGCAGGTTGTTTATGTTTAGAGGTGTTAATATTTTTTTTTTTGTCTAAATATTCAGATGGTCAAAACAGCAATGACAAATTTGGTGAAGAATGCAGACTTAAATCAATATTAGAGAAAATCTAGAAGGATAAGTGAAAATATCATCCCACTCCCAACTTCACACAGATAGGGAAGTTGGAAGAGCTCAAATCTATGTGAAATGACAGGTTTTCCAAAACAGGAGAGAAATTTTAAATTATAAATCCTCGAGACTCTGAAACTCACTTGGGAAATAGAAAAGTAATTGTTAAGGTCACTGGGTTTACTGAGGCAGAGATAGAAATGGAAATCACCAAAGGACTTTGGATTCCAACTTACAGAAATGCTAGATTTGAGGCTAGGAGTGTTGACTTTACAAACTTTTGTTTTAATGGTTTAAAAAGATTCAAAGAGTCATGGTAGAACATTTCAGACATCTTTATGAATTGTGGCATAAAGAGGGGACTCACACTCTTTGGAAACCAAGCTTAAAATTGCAGTTAAATGTTTCTTCCTATTGCGGATTGTAATGAATAGGTGGAAAGCTTTGAAGATGGCCAGAAAGTTTCTCCCTAATCAGGGGCTTTTGGACAGGCACCTCAGAATAACCTCTGTGTGCAAGACCAGGTGAGAGGTGCTGACTGACCTGAGTATTTCTTTACCAGATGTCAAAGCATGTTTTATCATGCTTACTTGTAAATTTACTATTTTTTTGTTGTTAATCCATACCAGAGGATATTTTTTCCCATTGGTTTTTTATTTAAGAGAGAGTGAAAGGGAGAGAGAGAGGGCAGATAGAGAAATAGAAGAGAGAGGGAAGGAGGGAGGGAGGGAGGGAGAAAGAGAGAGAGAGAGAGAGAGAGAGAGAGAGAGAGAGAGAGAGAGAGAGAGAGAGAGAGAGATGGATGTGAGAGAGACATCTATGTG